CGAGAATGAGGAATAAACATACCACCCAGGAGGGGTAAGAAAAACTGTTTTCATATATATATTCCGAAATATTCTGGCACTGCCAACATTTTCTTTTGAATTATTTTTTTTCGGGACAGCAAACTTTATACTGCTGTTAAGCTCAGCTGAACTTCTCTACTGAAACTATTTGGGAAGGTAATTCAGACAGCAAGAACAGCTGGAAAATGGTGCTAATGACTTTGCTGACATGTTAAACTTGCTACAATGTTGCTTGGCCTAATAGCTACACAATATCAGGCATTTTGTAATGCCAATTCTGAATTGCCAAAATTAGAAAATTATAATTATTATTTATAAAGTGCCAACAAGTATCGTAGCGCTGTACAATGGGTGGACTGACAGACACGTATTTCTAACCAGACAAGTTTGAAATACAGGAACAGAGGGATTGAGGGCCCTGCACAATGAGCTTACATGCTAGAGGGAGTGGGGTATAGTGACACAAAAGGTAAGGGTACGGTATAAAAGTAGGTTGCTAGGATAGTATTCATTTAAGGCTTAGTGTTCTACCTTGATGATAGTTTTAAGAGAGGAATCAGGGTGCGGGGTGGGAAATCTGTTCACAGTTTAATTGATATGCTTTCCTAAAGGAGTACGTTTTCAAAGATTTTTTGAAGGAGTGGAGGGTGGATGAGAATCTAACAGAGAGGTGAAGGACATTTCATAGGAATGGTGCAGCCCTAGAGCAGTCTTTAAGGTGAGCATCAGAGGTAGGAGTACGTACAGAGGTTAGACCTAGGTCTCTGGCAGAGCACAGGGGCCTATACGGGACATATTTGTGTATTAGTGAGGATAAGTAGGTGGGAGCAGTAATGTGTAGAGATTTGTAAGCAAGTGTCAGGATCTTAAATTTAGCCCTATATCTTACGGGAAGCCAATGGAGGGACTGATAAAGGGGGAGGTGTGGGACATGCGGGCAGACAGGAAGATAAGCCTTGCTGCTGCATTCATTATAGACTGTAACGGGGCAAGTTGGGAACACGTAAGGCCACTGAGAAGCAGATTACAGTAGTGGTGAGGGGTGGTGAGAAATCTTGGGAGGACACATACATTTGCGTGTCATCTGCATAGAAATGATACTGGAAACCGAAGGAGCTGATGGGTTTACCAAGGTAGATTGAGAACAATAGAGAGGGATTGGGGAGAAGAGGCAGAGCCAGAGAAAGAAACACTGAATGAGCGCTGGGAGAGGTAGGACGATTGTAACGGAGCTTCCTGTACCCCGGTTGGGTACCTCCGCCGACGGATGCTCCTAGTGCTCACCGAGGCCTCAAAGCACTCCACCAGACACCATCAGCACTGCAGTCCCCACGTCCAGCGTTACAGCTTAGCTGGGAACTCGCCGTCCTCCACCCACCCTGGATCCAAGTGGGTGAACCTCTCCTACTCCAGAGAGCATAGCAGGAACAGCTTTTTAAAAGAGCTAGTGATTTTAATCCCAGGGGAGTATAGTGATATAGCAATCCCCAGGGTAGGTACAGCCTTTTTCCCACACATGAGACGAGGCTCTATGTTGACGGTAAATCAGGAACTCTATTTTAATGGAGGCACACTGGCCTTTTATGCAAGTTTCCCAACAAGGGCGACACCCAGGTGGACCTTGTTGGGCACAGGGACCCAAAGTGTACAAGCCAATAAAAACAATGTGACAATGAATGACACCCTCACATACAGTGCACAATCCCTCCCCTCTGCCTGTGATATAATTAAGGCAGATAATGCATTAACTTAATTATCCATAGGCAGAAAGAAAAACACATTTTTACAAAGGCCAATAAGTACCCCAAAACACAACATATCCCCATAAAACATCCCCTGATAGACCCAATCTGGGTGAACAGCATATCCAAAAATCACCCAGATCAGTTCAGTAGTTCAGGAATTTCCTGGAAGTCATAGTTTTGACCGACCGTGCACATGGTCCAATGCCCAAAAGAGTTCCAGGGAATTAGGGCCAACGGTCGGTCTCTCTTTATGGAGTACAAAGGTACTTACATTACATGAATGGAGCCTTTTAAAGTGTATTGGGCAAGGTATATTGCAGGGCCCATAGTCACAGGGTAGGAGGCAAGCAGGCCCCTCCAAAATCCAGTGGCGAGGTCACTTTCGCCACAGCGATATCTTGTAGACCAAGATTACGAAGGATGAGAAAAAGCTATTGATGATCAACAGTGTCAAAAGCAGCAGAAAGGTTGAGGAGAATTAGGATAGTGTAGTGGCCATGGGATTTAGCAGTGATAAGATCATTGTTTACATTGGTCACAGCGTTTTTAACCGAGTGATGAGCACAGAATCCATATTGAAGTGAGTCAAGCAGAGAGTTGGATTCGAGGAAGCCTTTCAATCTCGCATACACAACTTGCTCAAGGATCTTGGAGACAAACGGCGGTGGCGAGATAGGGCGATATATATCTAGCTTGTAAAATGCAGAAAGTAAGAGAATGCTTATAAGTTTTATAATGGTTGATTGTAATCTTTTCCTTTTGCTATCTTGTATCACTGAAAAGTGGGAATCAGGAGTCATTCCAAGTTGAAATTATGGGATTTAATAAAAAATTTAAGGAAAATGTCAGTGGGCAATTGACCACCCACTTATGCCTTCCACCCTGACAAGACCAAAAGGTTTCCTACATATGCAGTCTGTAGTGTCGGTGACTGTCCTTCAGTGTGGGAAAAAACAGTGCCCTATCAGCTTCTACCCACGGCATTTGTGGAGTCACATCACAAGACTTAGCCAGCCAGGTCAAAATCGAAAGCAGCCACCAAAGCAGCCACAACAGGAGAAATGTAATTTGACTTTTTTATTTTCACTGACAGATTTTAGAACACTTTTACAAATTTGAAGGGAGAGATGAGAGGCCATTGGATCTCCACATTCAGATGATGACCCATTAAGAATCAAAGTAAACCCAATTTTTGGAGATTGAACTTGAAGTTGTGAGGATATTTGTGAGCATTGGGGATTTAGAATTTTCCCTGTAAGGGAGAAAACTTCTCACTTTGGACAGTGGTTGGTGGACATGAGAAAAAGCTGCTGGGAGATGAGAGACAGAGCAGACAACACACTCTTACTCTCATCCCACTATCTCACTATGAGGCTATGGAGGTTAATACAGGTAAACGCTGACCAAATCATTGACACTACTCTTCTATTGGCTGCTTTCTGTTTCACTTGCATGCACCAAACTGCCAACAGCCTCAGCTCAAACTGAAGCTGCTCCAATCTGCTGTATCGGGTATATGCTGCCAGTGCTGCTGCTGGGAGTAGTAGATAATGACAACATGTAGGTTTGAAATGAGCATGTTTGGTTTCCCCAAGATTTTGTGGTATAGCAGCTGGAAAATCAAAATTTTGTCAATCACCAAATTGACCTGAATTAGGTAAAACTCAACTCAATATGAATTTGCAAGTCCAACGACCAGCAAGAAGGTAGTATTTTAGATTGAGGTAGAACAGAGGAGGTCAGGTTAAGATGCAGGTTGCTACAAACAATGTACAACAAAAACTATACAAAATTGAGTGTGCAAAATACAGCTAATATTTACAACAAGATATTTTAAACATGTGGAAAATTAATCCATGCATATTAACTGATTTAGAAAAGATTAAATAATGGAAAAGCAATTATCAGCCATTCATAAAAGTATGTCAGGTAAATAGAGTTAGGAATAGTCAATCCCACTAATCTATTGTCCCCCCAAACCACATCGGTCTTATGAATTGCCCTAAGGAATTTCCACACTAGCCCTTACCACACCTCTAACTTTGGGTGTACATGATAGGATAAGAGCTCTGGTTTAACCTGCCCCCAGCTATTATTGCCATTAAACAGATGTGCTACTTACACATTATCAAAGCTTTTGTAGTAGGACTTGGTTTTAGATGCTAAAACGATTGATACAAATTGGAGACATGGCACTTAAGGATTCTTTGAACCATAACTACTGTAGAGCTCTAGTGGGGATGTTGTTTAGAGTTCCCTTATTGAGAAAAAAAATGGTAAAAGGAAGAATTTAAGTTATATATTTACTGATTGCTCACCAATTCAGTGACTTGTGATAACCGATTCACCATGTGATCAGAGATTTTCCTGAGGTATCGTAAAATAAGTTTAAGCTCAGGAGAACAATTTCTTAGTTTTCTTGTCATACCCAGCTGGCCAATTAACTGACGACAGACTCCAGGGACACTTGTTAAAGACGTCATTACTCTAAATTTCTACTTTCTATTCATTGCAATCATAGGTTCACTTATACCTTTTACTTGAGCTGTCAGCATTAAGGCTATCTTGCATCATTTTATAAAGCCAGAATTTACTGATGCCTTGCCATGCTAAAAAGTAACATACTTGTAGATACAATGTTATATAGTTAATTAGGTTGAAAAAGGACACCATTTCTGTCATGTTCAGCTGCTCTACATCACAGTATTTTTTAATTTGAAGAAGGAAAAATAAAATGCCATGATTTCCATTTTCCATGTTTTCCCAAATTAATTAATTAATTCTTCCTCCTAAGAAAAATTATGTTTTTGTTTTTGTCTCCAAGTAGCTCAATATGTCTGTATTTTGTTAGAAATAATTGCATTCAAACTTTTCTGAAAATGATATTGAACAAGCCAACTATAGTATTTCCCAATAAATGTAACAGTCTAACAGTAAAATATGAATTTTAAATATTTCCTTAAAAGAACATTCCAAGCACCATAACCACTACAGCCCACTGTAATAGTTATGGTGCCAGGAGTGTCCTGTGCCCTCCCAGTGTAAGCTGTTGAACTATATAAAAACAATTTGACATCTAACATGTGGGCTACATCCTCTGTAGCCAAAAACTACTGCACTGATCTACGACAGCAGAACACTTGTAGGAGCTTCTGGATCCTGAGGAGTAGGCAAAAAGAGCCCAGAAGACCCCAGATAAGTTGTCAAACCCTTCACAAATGTTTTGACTACTTGCTCAGGGGGACCCCTGAAACCATAACCATTACAGAGTGCTGTAGTGGTTATGGTGCTTGGATTGTTCTTTAACATGAAATCTACTACAAGAACCACTACAGCTTAATATAGTGGTTTTGGTGCAAATAAATTGTCCATTCAGTATCTAATGTATAAACTGCTTTTTATGTGTAAATCTCTGTAAATGTGATCTCAGTCAGGGGTGAAGTGGGGCGCTGCTTTAACACAGACACAGCATGGGACTAAATGCGACGTAAACTTCTCTACTTAATTCTTTCAGGTACCCCATAGATTTAAATAGTCTTAAGTAAACTCTAACGTTAGAAATACATGTTTATATTATATATAACTAGTTACAGTGCTACTTTAATTAGTGTCCCTCCTATATGAATCATTCTGTGTTGATGAGGTTTCCATAAAGTTATCTTTACTTTAACCTTGAATATCATTGTATAGTGAACAGACCCTAATCTGGACAGTCTGTGCACTTATTTTTTTTTTAAATATATTTTGCTGTATGTTTTGTAATTTTTGCAGTTCCAGAATGTGTTAGATGCCTATATTGCATATTTCTGTCCTATTTAGCTATCAAAAAATATTTAACAATGTTGCAACACATATATAGCAGTTCATATTTCTTTTATTTACATATATATCTTGGAAGGTAGGTCCTTCGTCCTTTAAATGTCCAACTGCTCAAGTTGCTCTCTATCATTGTCATCTCATATCCAATATCTCAATATATTTTTTAGACTCTAATAACATGTGTAGAAGGATTTAAAAAGACCCCAACCACAGTGTTTTGTTGACACAAGCATCTCTTCAATGCTTGGCCGCAGTGTTGAATGTGGAAATCTTGACTTGGTTCTCTGGATCCCGCATTTATGGGAGTTTGGTTTATCATATATAGGTGCAGGAAATAGTGGTGCTCCCCAAATCTATTGTCAGAAACTTTTTTTTCTGGAATCAGGAACTTTTGTAAGAGGATTATATGTTTCATCAACAAAGATTCTAACAGGAACAATGTATATGATGTTGGGAAAGATATATGTTAAATTACCAGGATATTGTATCTTGAGCAGGAATAATGGGGGTATGTTTAAATGTGTTTTGTACTCATAAAATATAACTCAATATCACTATAGGTAGCCACAGGGAAGGCAAAAAAAAAAGTCCCTCTGGTTTTAAAAATATATATTATATGCTAAAATTCCTATTATGGGCTTCTCCAACTTGCTCTAGATATGCCGATAAAATGTCTACCTAATGCATATACAGTAAGTCTAAGTTTAAAATATACACATGCTAACCCCCAAAAGTACCTCAAAAGTGCACCCCTCTTACTGCGGAATGAGTTCAAAAATGTTGGGAATGAGTAAATAGCAACAGAACCTAAAGATACTACAAGTGCAAAGGGAAAACATATACACATTAACAGAATTTAAACAGCTTGCCATTAAAAAAAAATCCTGGTGTAACACAGGTTAGAATTAATTGTACAACTTCAGAGTTTTGGTTTGAGAAGTATACATTGTTGAAGACATTGGATGTCATATGGTTTTGATTTGTTTCTTAATTAGGAGGTCAGATAAATTAATGAGTGTTCCATTGGGGTTCGTTACACCGTAATGAGAAAATTCTCCAGTTGCTGTGTTTTTTGTAGTGTGTAAAATTTCACTAATTTTAATCATGCAGTAATTTAAATCATATCTCTTCTTCTATACATTTTTAACATGAGTTCATAGTAAAACTCACAATATCAATATTTCATAAAACCTAGAACAATAAAATTAATACATCATGTGCCTTGTCTTTGCAAAATATATAATAAACTCAATTAATTAAGTAGGCATAGGGTAAAATAATTAAATATTCTTTTTTTTATGAAAGTTTACTGTTGCTGTGACAGAATGTAAGCTAATTCTTTGCACATAGTAAATATTACAATTTTAGAAATGGTATTACAGTCTCAACGTCACCCTGCCATTCTGAAGATATCAAATTCATTTTACAGTACATTAAGCTTGGACTTTGCCATCAATTCCGTTCATAAAATATCTTGTTAATTCAGAATGAATATTTTTCACTCATTCTATATTCATCTTTCAATAGTTTTTTTTCTTCAATCCTTTAAGACCAAAATGCCAGTTTGAATAAGTAACTTTTCATTTTTAATTTAAATATGGCAAGAGCACATTTGAAAACAGAAAAGAGAAATAGAACCCGAAGTGTCTCTTACGTTTTCAATGAAACTGGTCTGTTGTACAATGAAATATGCTATATATGTATTCTAAAAATGACTAAAGAAAAAAAGAATAATACATAAAGAAATACTTTGTACCACTGCAAAAATATTTGTAGGCCAGAAAAAAATATTTATGAGATATTCCAGAATAGGTACACAGACTTTGAGATAATAATTAAAGAAGCGTAAAACAATGACTTGCAAATGACAAGAAAACAATAAACAATGTAAGCACATTATTTTTTAATTAGCAGATTTAGATATTCAATTGACACTCATTATTGGCAGTTGTATAAATTCAAGCACACAGCAATGTTTTAAAGGAACACTCCAAGAACCATAACCCCTAAAGCTCACTGTAATGGTTATGGTGTAAGGAGTTCTCTGCTTCCTCCCAATGTAAGGAGTCAAAAAGTTTTTGAACAATTTGACTTTAACCTGGGGTTCAAGCGCTGCTACCTACCTCCAATACCAACACCGGATAGCAAGACGTTCCCAAGCAGGAAATTCTGTTAGTGCTCCTGCATTGTAGTGTGGTGGAATCTCGGTAAAAATAAATTTAGTAGGCCGAGATTACCACGTGGCATGTGTACGTGCATATGCTGACGTATCGATCAGTTGGTTGCACGAGGCAAGATACGATCAGTAGTGTACGGAGCATGTGCAAGAATACAGGATGTAGTATTCCCCTCCTCCATTGTGCTGGACAAGCCATGCGGTCAAGCAGGAAGTTAATTCTTATTTGTAATGATTGGTCAAGAGAATGTGCGGGTGGAGCTTAATATGGGAGGAGTTATGTGCCTATATAGGGAGCCTGCACTATTGTTCAGGGCTCAGAACTTGCTGTATTTTTGGTGACATTAGTCCCTCTGAGTCCCGATCGGTGATCCAATAAAGAATCTCTTCCTTCCTGAAGAAACCTGTGTCCATCCCTCTGTGCTTTGCTTCCGTCAGTTTCTCCGGTATCATTTGGTGCATTGGCCGGGAAGCTCATCGTTCAACGGTAGCTGAGAGGCAGAGGCGTGAGACGGTCTATCTTTGCCCACGTTCTCTACGGCTGCACCCCTGAACTTCTGCGTGGACCTCCCTTCGTCTCGGCGCCACTGGTCTGTTGTCCAGGAGATCATCGGCCTCTACGTAAGAAGTGCTGGGGTGTCCCCGTCGATGAGTGTGAACTCAGGTTCAGGAACGAGGAGGTAAGACAACTGCTGTTTTAGACGGCAGACCCACTAGGGGTATACCGATTGTGCGGTAGGCCCAAAAGGGGTTTAAATCTGTGTATGGAATCTGCCCCCTCTGTCGGAGGGAAGGAGCGAAGGCGCACCGCTCGATCGAACGCTCTTTAGTAAGACCGTTTGATCTGGTTAGTCAGGCGGGGTCCTGTGTAAATAGCCCTAGCCGGACACCGGTGTCTTGTCTAGACTAGCGTTCTAGGGTGTATATTACGTTCGCTAGGTCGGAGGGACCGGGAGACTAAGCGGCGCCTGTGTAAATTCGGTTCGCTAGCTCTCAACCTATCTTGGCTAAGTGGGAAGGCGTGTAAATTTGGAACCCACTAGACTTTTGATAGAGTAAATAGACTAGAAGGGCAATTTTGTAAATTTCGCCCTCTAGTTCGCTATATGTGGTGTTTGGGCAGTGTGGCTAACCAAAACGGGTGTATATAGTTTTAGGTAGTCCATTCAAGGTACTGGCCAATAGTTTAGTTGGGATTGTAAATGTGTTAAAGATTGTTAGTAAAGTGTATATCTTGTTAGATAGCGCGAGCTCAGCCGTCTAGCGAGAGTGTTAATAGTGTGTTGCTGTATCATAGTGCACGGTACCATAACCCTGTATATTTACTGACACTGTATATAAGTACTAATCATTGTCGTCTATTGCATGTTTAACACCGTAACCACTAATAATTGTATTGTGACCTTAAATTGTGCTTTGACCTATGCTAACCGTACTGTAACCGATACTAGTAAAAGACGATGTTACTGGGGTGTGTTATAGACGGGTAATTCATATATAGAGAATTATAGCGTGGGTGACTGTATAGTTTCGCCAAAGGGCATAATATTGATTATTTAGTGACTGGTGTAACAGCTGTGTGTGTACGGGAATTCCCTGAGTGATTATTGTGTTATTGTGTACGTTTCACTCGGTAACTGTACCACGTGGTGCTGTTGCCAGAGGAAACGGGTGTGACTGTTGAATAAGAACGCGTGCATAGTATTCGTTGTCAACGACGTTCCATTGATAAGTATGGGCGCGTCAGAGTCAACGATTTCGGATCCCTTAGGTTGTATGGTAAAGAATTTTAAAAAGGGATTCAAAACATGTGATTTTGGGGTTAAAATGTCTCCTGTACGTTTGGTCACTTTGTGCACTAGGGAGTGGCCTATTTTGGTTGCGGCATGGCCGCCGCGTGGCAGTTTGGATCCAACCCTGGTACAGCGTGTACACGTGGCTGTGTCAGGTAGGCCTGAACTTTACGGACAGTTTCCATACATTGATTGTTGGGGGCAGGCCGTAAACGACTCGCCAAAATGGATCCGGATATGCCACGAGGAGCAATGTCGCCTCATGGTGGCCAGGACTTGTTTGTCCACTAGGACTGGTGTTAGGCCCATTTTGGACACGCCCCCTGAGTCCGAGATCCCTTTGCCGCCTCCTTACTTTCCTTTAAGAGGAAGTGACGCGAATGCAGGAAGCTCTGCACCCCTTCCCCTATTGCCCCCATCCACTTCCGCTTCCTCCTCCAGTACAGAATCCACCCCCCCTCGTATTAAAACTCCCCTTCCGGAACCAGGACCAACCCCCATTAGATTTGAATATCCTG